CAAAACTACAATGAGATATCATCTCACCCCAACAAGGCTAGCATTAATCCAAAAAACACAAAATAATAAATGCTGGAGAGGTTGTGGAGAGACTGAAACACTTATATACTGTTGATGGGAATGTAAAATGGTACAGCCACTTTGGAAATCGATTTGGCGCTTCCTTAAAAAGCTAGAAATAGAAGTACCATACAATCCAGCTGTTCTGCTGCTTGGAACATATCCTAGAGAAATAAGAGCCATCACACGAATAGATCTATGCATACCCATGTTCATTGCAGGACTGTTCGCAATAGCAAAAAGATAGAAACAACCTAGGTGCCCATCAACAGATGAATGGATAAACAAATCATGGTATATCCACACAATGGAATACTATGCAATGATAAAGAACAACGATGAAGCCGTGGAACATCTTATAATATGGAGGAATCTGGAGGTCATTATGCTGAGTGAATTTAGTCAGTCACAGAAGGACAAATATTGTATAGGACCACTATTATGAGAACTCAAGAAAAGGTTTAAACACAGAAGAAAACATTCTTTGATGGTTACGAGGGTGGGGAGGGAGGGTGAGGGTTATTTAATAACTAGATAGTAGATAAGAATTATCTTAGGTGAAGGGAAGGACAGCACACACTGCAGGGGAAGTCAGCACAATGACTAAACCAAAGCTAAGAAGTTTCCTGAATACAGTCAAACACTTCGGGGGACAGAGTAGCAGGGGTGCAGATCTGGGGACCATGCTTTCAGGGGACATATAGGTCAATTGGCTTAACAAAGCTTTTTAAGAAATTGTTCTGCATCCTACTTTGGTGAGTGGCATCTGGGGTCTTAAAAGCTTGCTAGTGGCCATCTAAGGTGCATCTATTGGTCCCAACCACCTGGAGTAAAGGAGAATGAAGAACACCAAAGACACAAGGAAAGTATTAGCCCAAGAGACAGAAAGGGCCACATAAACCAGGAAGAGACCGGAAGAACTAGATGGTGCCTGGCTACCACCAATGACCGCCCTGACAGGGAACACAACAGAGAGTCCGGGATGGAGCAGGAGAAAGGTGGGGTGAAGAATTGAAATTCTAGTAAGAAGACCAGACTTAGTGGTCTGACTGAGACTGGAGGAGCCCCGGCAAGCATGGCCCCTGGATTCTCTAACAGCCCAGAACTAAAACAATTTCCAAGGCCAACTCTTCAGACAGGGATT